GTTCTCCCATGATGGGAAATTTGTTGCTCTGATTGTTTATGTTGATGATATTATCCTTACTAGAGATGATACATTTGAAATGGAAAGAGTAAAAGAGAAATTAATAGTAGACTTTGAAATCAAGGACTTGAGATTCATGAGATATTTTTTTGGTATGAAGGTTGCTCGATCAAAGAACAATATTGTGGTTTTACAAAAAAAAAAATACATTCTAGACTTATTGAAAAAAACGGGAATGAGTGGATTTCATCTGGAAGTTACCCATATGGATCATAATGTTAAACTTTGGGGAGAAGGTAATGTTCTTGTTAATACTGAAAGATACCAAATATTGGTTGGAAACTAATTTATTTTTCACACACCTGACCTGATATTGCTTTCTAAGTTAGTGTAGTAGGTCGGTTTATGCATTCTCCTTTCTAGGAAAATCTTAAGGTAGTGTATATGATATTGAGATATTTGAAGGGAAGTCCCTAAAAAATATTACTTTTTAAGAATACTAGTGAAAGAAATATGTTTATCTTCACTGATTCTAATTTGACAGGTTCAATCACAAATAGAAGATTAACTTATGGATATCATATATATGTTTGGGGTAATTAATCTTGTAACATGGAGGAGTAAGAAACAAGGTAGTGTAGAAATAAGTGGTGCAGAAGTCGAGTTTAGAGCTATGTCTCAAGGTATTTGTGAAGGATTATGGATCCTTAGAGCCTTAGAAGAACTTAAGATGAAAATTGAGCTTCCATTGAAATTATACTCTGACAGTAAAGTTGGTTTTAGCATAGCTCATACCCAGTTCAACATGACAGAACCAAGCATATTGAGACTGGTCGACATTTCATAAATGAGAAGTTAGATTATGGAATCATAAGTCTACCTTTTGTTACTTCGATTGAATAAACTGCAAATATCCCGACCAAAAGCTTGGAAAGACCTATCTTTGAGAATTTGATAGACAGGTCGGGCATGATAGATATCTATGCACCAACTTGAGGGGGGTGTTGGAAAATACATCGGAATTTAACACCAGCCCATCAAGAAACACAGAATCCAACACAACACCAGTATATGGAAAATAATAAAATGAAATGCATACATATGCTCAGATAAACATGTACAAATGAACAAGCTATAAAGCATAAAGTTAAACACCCAATGAAAAACAAAACAACAAAAGCTAGGAGTGACTCCGGGATGGACCAACATTTGGTCAATCTGTCCCCTGTGAAGTCTCCAGCTGAAGCAACCGGCAGAAAATCATCGAGAGAAAACCAATGAAGTCACCATCGAACATTTTTATCTCGTAGAGGGAAAGGAAAACATCGAATAAAACCTGAAGATGGTGAAATCACGGTCTTGCGACCGAGAGATACGGGTAAGGGAGTCGATTACGCAAGGGGGAGGTACTAGCACTCCTCAAGTCTGTGGTACTCCATGGATTCCGCTCTTGTTATTCTAATTAGAGGGTGTGTTCTAATCTAAAGCTTACAAGCTAAGGAAAACAAAATGCAAAGAGAGAATGCATGCAAAAGAAAACACGAGGAAAAGAAGGAATATTTACAAAGTTTTACTCGCTTGGGCCCCGCGATCAAATGCCTATGTATCCCTTTTAAGGAATCAGAGCATTGTAGTTCAGCTCAAAAGTTTTCGTTTGTTGGTTGATTTTAAATGAAGAGACAAGTCGTCATTTTTAAAGGAGAAGACTCGTCTAAACGCCCACAAGGTATGATAAAGAATAAAGGACTATACACCAACATGAGAGAGGATTTGAGAACACCTCTAGTACTCAAGTGGATAAGTCGACAACCACGGGGGTAGAGGAAGAATATCTCAATTATAAATGAATCAGGTCTAATCTTGAAAAAAAGGTTTTAAAGGGTAAAAGGTTCTCTAGTGCACAAAAAGGTTTGAATGAGGTTGAATGTTTTTTAGTCTTGAAAAAGGGTTTAAGAAATGTTAAAGTGTTTTATGAGTTTTCCAAGAAAAAGAGTTTTAGTTTTAATCATGCATAATGGGAAGAAAAACATATAAGGGAAACTATCTAATTTCTATCTCTAATGTTATCATACAATGATTGTCCTATAGTTGAGTTTTAAAGGGAAATATCTACCTAAGTTAGCATGCATGGAATATGATCCTAATGTCTAACTTGCATCAGAAACGAAACAAGTGAATCCTAAGAGAGAATACAATGATTACTATCTAATTAGAAACATAAGCATAAGTGCAATCAAACAAAAATGAGTTAAAGCCAAAAAAACATCGGATGCGAGCTAAAAGCAAACAATGGAGTCCAATGGATCTCAAAGTGGGAGCAAGGAACTCTTTCCACTTACTTTTCTCATGCACCGGCATCGAGTAACAACTCGGAGCATCAACATCGAGCGACGCGAGATAAAATAGTTGAAATGAATGAAAAAACCTGGGGGTTAATTATGAAACCTCCTCCACTTTATTCAACTCAATGGACTATAATAGGCACAGTTCAAAGCATCAACACATGGCACGAGCTAGGAACGGAACAGACTAGAATGCGTGGGGGGAGATTGCAAGACCTCCTCCATTTTATTGACTCGATAGTAAGCACGGTGTAAAATGGAAGGGGAATTTACTACTTTTAAAGACTGTATAGAGAATGCATGCAAAAGAAAAGAGAAAATAATGTAGGGAAAATAAAGCTGTACTCGTTCGGGCCCTACCCCAATGCCTACGTATCCCTTTTAAGGAATCAGAGCAGCTGTAGTTTGGCTCACAAGTTTCTGTTGGTTTGTATTTTTTAATGAACAATATTAATTTCACCTTCTGCCGCAACTCGACCTTTGGAGACTCACGCGTCAGCACAGAAGTGACTTAACATGTTCTTTTGAAAAGGTTTGAAAGAAAAACCCGAAGGCGCAAAAAGTTTATATTGGTTGATATTTTTTACCTTGAAGAAGGATTTGAAAGTTGTTAGATGTTTTATGAATTTTTTCAAGAAAAGAGTTTTAGTCTTAATGTAAGGATGCAAAAGAAAAGAAAAACATCTAAGGGAAACTATCCTAAAATCTAATCTTAATGTTATCATACAACGATTGACCCTAAGGCTGAGTTTTGAAAGGGAAATCTCTAACCTATCTTAGCATGCATGGATACCTATCCTAACATCTGCTAGAAAGCTACTCTAATCGAGCGATCCTAAGGGAGGCATACAAATTCCTATTCTAAGGGAACATGATATAGCAAACAAATAAGCAAACAAGTTCTTTGGAAAAAGCACACAAACATGAGTAGCACATACTGAATCAAAGAGATGCGAGAAACAAGAGAAATGTTTTAGCTAAGGGGAGCGGATCACCCGAAGCAAACAAGCGGGAGATGAATGAAATAAAAAAGAAAAGAAATGATTTAGCTAAGGGGAGGGGATCACCCGAAGCAAACTAGCGGGAGACAGATGAAATAAAAAAGAAAAAATACTTTAGCTAAGGGGAGGGGATCACCCGAAGCAAACTAGCGGGTAGCGAAGTATCATCAATAGCAATTTCGAACTCTTGACAAAGCGCGGGGGTTGGTTGCGAACCCTTCTCCATATGACCGACTCGATACACATGATCTGCACGACTCCGAAGCATCGACGTACAAAATGAGCTAAGGATGACACGGACTAGAATGTGCAGGGGTTGGCTACTAATCCTCTCTGCTCGCCTCCTTTTGAGGACTTATCATATGTGATATATGCGGGCACAAATGTAAACGCACGTGTAGAATACGTACTTCAAAGGTAGGATTTTAAACAAATACAGATAACATACAGAAAGTGGTGCTTGCTACAGAACTTTAATTAGCAACTTCGAGCGCACACTCTTTATTTCCTACTTCTCATGATATCTAGAAAGCAGTAAACTTTCTACTTCTCATGATATCTAGAAAACAATAAAGTGCTTAAATGAGATAAACAAGAGAAAATACCAAGCGAATATCAATCCGTAGCAAAGCGTATCAAAACAAAGAAACCCGACGATCTTCGCGAAAACTTCACCAATCAAAGAAAAGAGTCATAAATCAAATGCTCAGAACAAGTGTCGAAGCATCATTGATGTGAAAATAAATTAAAGGCAGAAGATGCGCCAAGCATGTCCAAATATCACACAATAATCTTGTATAAGACTCAAATCTCAACAAGTAAAGGTGCATCACAAGTCTCGAGTAACAAAATGATTACTAACACAATCAATATTAGAAAATTCTAAACAAACTTCTACAAAAAAATTTCTAAAAAAATATTCTATTATATTTCACTATTCTTTATTGATTTTATTATAGAAAAAAAACTATCAAAAACTAGAGAATTAGTTCCTAGTCACAAAAAAAAATTAACAAATCTTATTAATTTTGTAATTTTTTATCAACAATCTATAACAAAAAATAAGGAAAATGTTATGGAAATCTAAAAAGAAAATTAAACTCAAAGGGAGTGAGTGTTGAAACCAGATGTTTGTTCAATAAACCTGTGCTAAGCCCAATAGCAAAAATTCCACAATGTTGATCTTTGTTGGATTTCTTCTCAGGCTGCTAAAAAGAGAATGGTAACAGGCTAATGCTATGGGTTTGCAACAAATTCAACCCAAGAACATTGAAAAGTCAGTCCAATAACACATAAGCATCACCAATTATCATTTAATTCATTCCATATTTATGAAATAAATTAAAAGGAATAAAAAAAATGTAAAAATTGATGCTTTGGTGTGCGTTTAGGGTTAAAGATGTTGTGCCTTTTCACATTTTCGTAACAGAGAAAATCTCTTCTCTTCTTCACCTTAGATTGGCTCCGTAGCCCTGTTCCCTCCACCGTCTTCCCCTTCGATCACAACAATGTCATTCTTCTTACGAATGGCGCACTGCCATAATACATCAGCGTCTTCGCCATTGATGGATTCCACTTCGAAGATTCCGTCATCGCTCCTCTTCCCAGCTCGTCGTCTAAATTCATCTCCTTCATGTCTTCATCAGCCAAAGCAATTTCAGCGATTTTCCAAGCCAAAGATAATGACGAGCGAACCAGAGAATATCGGCCAAGGCTCGGGTATATACGTTCCCGATTCAGATGGTTTTGTAAATTCCTGATTAATCTTACTGTGTGAATTTCTTCGATTGTGTTGATGCGCTCTTTGCGTTGTTGTTCTTGTTGCAAGAGGAGTTGTTGTTGTGGTGTATTGATGAAGAAACATGAAGACGCAATGGTTCACATTATGCGATCTTTTACATTTCTCTGTTATTGATCTAGTGTGATTTGGTGCGGTAGTGTGAGAATTCTGTTGAAGTAGATTATTGATGTATGAAGATTCAGATGAATATGGTGACGAAGATTGAATGAAGTAGTTGTAGATGAGAAGTGCAGAACAGAAAAGAGAGCTTGAAGGTTTGTAGAGAATCAGAGAGGGCTTAGAGGTTGTGATTGAAGAAGATGAATATTCGTTGAAGATTATGCAGAGAGAGCCTTTTTTGTGAATGAAGGTTGTAGAGAGAATAAAGATGATTGAACGTGGAGGATGATGATGGTGCACTCAATTCAGAGAGAGTACAGAGAAGCTTTTTCCGGTTCTTTGTGATTCTTCTTGAAGCTTGAAGATGGATTGAAGATGACAGTTCTTCTTGTGTGATTCTCCACAGAGTGAAGAATGAAGATGAGAGGAGAAGAGAGAATTCCTTGCGATTGATTATTCTTTGGATTATGAAGAAGAAGCCCTTGAATCTGGTGAGTTTTCTATTTTTATAATTTTATTATTGTTGTTAGGAATGAATCAATTTGAGCTGTTAGAACTGAAAATCGGATAGGAGCTTGGATGGCTAGGATTAATTTTAAATGAAGTTAGTTATGCAATTTTGATGAGATGGAATTTCTGTTATTCTATTCACACGGTTTCCTAATTTTTTGGTTTTGAACTGTTAGTTGGAAGCTTCAAAGTTCTGTTATACTGTTATGAGTTGTAAGGTGAACCATGTTTCTCTTCAAAATTATAAATCGCAAGCTTCAAAATTCTGTCACGCTTCTAATAATTTCCATTTTATTTTTTTGTTTAATTTTCCCCCTGTTTTTGTGCAGGTTAGCTGAACTGGTTTAGTTATTTGGATTTCTACATAATAGCTTTTTGTTCTTGGTTTTTCTAATTTGCTTTGGATATTTTCTTCTGTTGTGAATAGACATTAGCGTGTAGGTATGATTTTGTGGTGATTGTAGTTAGTTTTATGAATTGCCTTTTCGTATTAGCTTGGCTTGGATATCTGGTTTTAGTGAACTGTCTAAGTGTGTTCTCTTGATTTTCGATGGACCAGTTAAAGGCATAACTTTGATTCTGATTCATGTTAGAGCCATAGTTTTTATCTGATTTCCTATCTTTATTTGATCTTTTGTGAACTGTTTATGTGTTGGGCAGCTTCCGGCTATACGGATTAACGCTGACGATGCAACCAATGCTTAAGGCTGCAACATGGAAGACGAACGATGCAATATCTATTGACGTTTCATTGAATTGTAGCAAAGGGAAGGATGGAAGACATGGTTGAATTGTGCGAGAAGGAAGAACAAGATTTCATAGAATTTTGGCTACAAGTCAGGAACAAGTTTGGAACTATTTTGGCAACCGGTCTTTTGAGAAGTTATAGTGTCTTAAGGAACACTTAGGCTTAGGATAGATGTATAAACTTTTTTTTTTTTGTAATTCCTCAAAATGTAATGGTAATACGACTTGCGATTTGTAATTTTGAAGACAAACATGGGTGATATTTGTATGGTTATGAAACCTTTTGGATGAACTTGAAATGACTTATTTGGACAAAGTCGAATTGGGCTAGAATCATGGTCAACATGGATGGAAATTGAATGAAGTAATTTGATTTTGATGGATGATAATGCTTGGCTTTTGTTTCAACTTGTCTATATCTGAATTATAACCTATATAACATAGGGTTAAAAGTCAAAGGGAAATCGATCAACATTTGAACCTGAATAATGTCCTCCATGATCCTACAACAATGAATTCAAAATATCCTTGAGTCCATGCTTATACGCTAAATCAAATCTCGATGTAATTTGTGGTTCCACAAGAGAATCCCATAACAAACTTCAATGACACTCTTGCACTTTCTAAGAAACCCTGATTCGAACCTCAAATGTGTTTGGAACTACAAACTTGATACACACATGGGCTTTGATACGTGAACTCACCATCACCTTATTGCACAACCCATTCATTTCTTGTACATAAACCAAATGTATGAATACTTTGATTTGGTAAATGATAGAATCAGAGAATAATGTAATATCTCGCCCCAAAGCCTTGTTTCAATCGATATGCACAACTATAATACAAGCTTCTAGGTGAAGATGAAATTTGAGGGATAGATGGAAGAACGCTCCAAACATCTTTAAAAAAACCCTAATGTCATGATTGAATCACAAAAGAGCCTCTTATCACTGCATTCAAACCTTTCAAGAGATTCTCAATGGAAATCTTGATGAAACGCTAAGCACCACAAGTGAAGACCCTAATGCTCTTTGCTCTGGATAATGAAGACAAAAGTCTATAATATCTCTGAATGAAAACCTTAATTCTACACTCCACTTCCTTAGGAAGAATCAGACTATTTAGTTTTATTCAACATATACACCTCAAACCAACAAAAACTTTGCTTGTATGATCACTGAACTTTGAACCTGAAATTCCTTACTGAATGTAAATGTATGTCATGTTAGTGACCTAATGGAACATATGCAGATGAATGCAAAAGCCTAATTCAAATAAAAGAAATTAGGAGGGCAAATTTTGGGGTGCAACACATGGCCCGTGTCAAACCAACTGCACCAAATATGTGAGAAAACAAAGTCACAGACGCTGACACGAGTGCCCATGTCACATAAAATGGCTCGTGTCAAAACATCAGCATGGACGCGTGACTTGAAGCAAGGGACAGAGGCTGACACGAGTTCCCGTGTCTAGTGACACGGCCCGTGTCAGCCAATGTGTTAGGAATCTTGGTTTTTGGAGTTTTAAGTGTCTTGGATCATTTGAAGTACTTGGGACATTTTTGCATTGCCGAGGGATGACCTAATACTATTAAAACTTGTTTGTGAGAAGAGAAAGGAAATTTATTTTTTAGATGGTAGAAGATTTACACGATAGAAGATTAGGTTTTTTAAGAGTTTAGAGATATAGATTCCTTCATGCGCGATAGCAATTGAAGATCGAAGGATCCATACTTTTTGTAATGTCTAATTCTATTATTGCTTTTCTTTTGAATACTATGAGAGGCTAAACCCCCTAATGCTAGGGGGTGTCCCTGATTTGTCATGGTAAGGATACTGATCTCTTTGTTTTCATCAACACAGTAGTTCTTTTGCATCAATTTGATTGTTCATAATTTGTTATTGTTTTCCCTATCGGACCAATAGGGTTATGCTTTTCTTAACATAGTAGAGTTGGACAGCCGTGTTAAGGTTTTATAAACAACTATATTATAGAATATTTTACCTAGGACTAGGGTTATCTTATAATAACCAGAAAATTCTTGATAATCAAATGATTGGCTTCATCACTAATTTTAATGGACCTTGAAATTAGGATAGAAGGTTAAAGGTTTTTCACTAAGGACTTAGGAAAAGATAATCTTAAGAACTGGTAGTTGATGCTGATGAACTTGTTGAAAAGATCAAGAGTCAAAGTTATCATATGGAAAATTACATACTTACCCCTAGCATGTTTTACTCACACTAGTAAAAATTCATATCTTAAATTCTGCTATTTTAAATTACTTGCAAGGATTTATTCTAACCAAAACACAACTGATAGATTTTGTTTAATTGAACCATAATTTTAACTCAGTATTGTAACGCAATCCTCGAGATCGATATCTTAGGAATTTCCTATTATTACTACATCAATCAAAATAGTACACTTGGTATTTTTCTGATCAAATTTTTAGCTCCGTTGTCGGGGACTGCCAAAATACAGAGTTAATTGGATAATAGCCTAGAGACATTTTCCTATTCTTTCCACCTATTAGTAATTGTCTTTCTCATTTTGTTTATTTGTAAACAGTAATTATGTTCAAATGCATATGTTCATCAATGAATCATTGGACGCATTTGCAAACAAAACACAATCGTAAAGAAAAAGACAAATAGTTTTTGTACTTTCAAAGAGATAACTTTGTATTGACTTTTAATAAGTATTTTGTACAAAGGAGACAAACATTCTAGTAAGATAAAGGTGCCATAAAACAAGAAAAATTTATACAAAGAAAGATAGCTATGTGTAATAATCCCATGGGGTTCCCATTCTGCTATAGCCTTTATATCTCAGAATATCTTGTCTATTTGTTGCTTCGTCCGAAGATGATTGAATTGATCAGAAACTCCGAGTTTGTCAGTTAGAAGTCAAATGTTGTCCGTAAAGTGATCCGACGGGACATAGTCATACGCTTTGATTCCCTAACTTTTGCCTGGACCGCCCTTTCGGGTTTTCAGTCCACCAGGAAGCCCTTTTTTGCCCAAGTCGCCCTTTTGGGTTTTCAACTTGTCGGGTATACAAATTTTTATTTTATCCCTAATTTTTGCCCGAACCTTTTTGGTTCGCCGGGATGCCCTTGTTTTGCCTAGGTGTGTCAACCTAGCGGGTCTCTTATGCGTAGTATCTTTTGACTATATCCGCGTTCGCAGGGTGTGGCAAGTCGTCACCGTCCATGGTGGTCAAGATCATTGCCCCACCGGAGAATATGCTTTTGATAACAAATGGTCCTTCATAGGTAGGAGTCCATTTGCCCCTGGGATAACTTTGTGGCAAAATGATACGTTTGATCACTAGATCCCCAACTTGATATACTTGGCGCCCGACTTTCTTGTTGAAATCCTTGATCATCCGTTTTTGATACATCTGACCATGGCAAGAAACAGTAAGTCTCTTTTCATCAATTAAGTTCAGTTGATCAAGTCGAGTCTGGATCCAATCGTTTTCATTCAATCCTGCATCCTTCATAATTCTCAAAGAGGGGATCTGAACCTCGATAGGTAGAACATCCCCCATGCCGTAAACCAAAAAATAGGGTGTTGTTCCGGTTGATGTGTGAGTCGTGGTACGGTACCCGTGGAGAGCGAATGGTAGCATCTCATGCCAGTCTTTGTACGTGACTGTCATCTTTTGTATGTTCTTTTTAATATTTTTATTTGCAGCTTCAACAACACCGTTCATCTTTGGTAGATAGGGGGAAGAATTGTGATGCTGAATCTTGAATTGCTCGCACAAGGCGGTGATCATAGTGTTGTTAAGATTTGTACCATTGTCAGCGATGATCTTTTCTAGGATACCGTACCGGCAAATGAGATTTTTCTTGATGAAGCGGGCAACAACATTCTTAGTGACGGAAGCGAAGGAAGCTGCTTCGACCCACTTTGTAAAATAGTCAATGGCCACTAGGATAAAGCGGTGTCTATTGGAGGCTGTAGGCTTGATCTCCCCAATCATATCAATTCCCCACATAACAAAGGGCCAAGGATCCGTCAAGACATTCAGAGGAACCGGAGGTACGTGCACCTTGTCAGCATAAATTTGACATTTATGACAGGTCCGAGAGTGTTGATAGAAATATGCTTCCATGGTAGACCAATACTAGCCTGCCCGTAGGATTTTCTTCGCCATCGTATGCCCACTGAAGTGAGTTCCAAAAGTACCTTCATGTAATTCAGCCATGATCTTTTCTGCTTCAACCTTTTCCACACACCGAAGCAGAATGGAGTCATGATTACGTTTGTACAGGATTCTATTACTCAGGAAGAACTTAGCAGAGAATCTCCTTAAGAATTTCTTATCATTGATTGAAGCTCCTTCTGGATATTCTTGAGCCTCAAGATACCTCTTGACTTCATGAAACCAAGGCTGGTCTACTACCTCTTCAGTATTAATCTCGTGACAGTAGGCTGGTTCACCCATCCGCTCAATGGTAATTTGAGGAGCCTCGTTATCCCAATTAAGTTTAAACATAGATGACATTGTAGCTAGAGCATCTGCTAGCTTATTTTCTTCTCGCGGGAAATGCTCGAAGGTAATCTTCTCAAAATGTGGTAGCAATGTCAAAACATGTTCTTTGTAAGGGATAAGATTTGGGTGCTTAGTGTCTCATTCCCCTTTGATCTGACTGATGACCAAAGCTGAATCTTCAAACACGTATAAGGATTTGATTCCCAAGTTTATGGCAGCTCTGAGACCAAAGACGCATGCTTCGTGTTCTGCCATGTTGTTCGTACAGTTGAAGCAAAGTCTGGCAGTAAAAGGAGTATGACACCCTTCCGGAGATAGCCGATACCATTACC